TGAAATCCATGCACTGACTCTCCTCTCTCTGCCGCACCCCAATGTCCTGTTGTAATGGAGATTGCATGGTTCTAAGCGGGTACCAGATTCCCGCCGAAGGCTCCTGAGCCATAGCAATCATGGGAGGTGCAAGAGCCTTTGGAGGGGGTGCTGGGGTGGTCCTAATTCTTTTCTCCTTGTTCTTTAACAGTTCCTTCTTCACAGCGTCTCTGTCCTTAATTGCTTAATTTCCCAGTGATCAGGACACTTCTCCTGATCATACTCAACCATCTCCTCTCCTAGGGCAGACTCATCCTCAGGGTCAAGAGATCCCTCTTCTGGCCCCAGACGGGGTTCCTCATAATAGGGTGGATCTGGTTCTGGTGGAGCGGAAGGTTTGGTTTCACTTTTGTCCCAGCCATAGCTTATGGGATTCTCCTCTTCAGTCTCAGCCTTTGCTCCTAGGGCCCCAAGTATATTCCTTACAAAAACTGAGCGACTGTTTCCTTGCCCCATCTTCTCCCAAGATGAATACTCACTGCTCCCCAATTGTACCGAGTGCACTCACTTAACTTCTCCAGCGGTGTCCTTCACTTTATCCCCTACTTTTCAGGTCTCTGTTCCAGGCGCCACTTGCCGGTGCCAGCCGGCCAAAACGGACAGTACCTGAAAGGGGGAGTGAGGATTGAAAGAAATAAAAGGAGACAGAAAAGATGCTTCTTGGGAGGGCTCACAGTAAATACTGCAGCCTAGATTTATTTCAGTTCTGCCTTTTTATACAGAAGAACTCAATTAGTTACAATTGCTGTATTTCCCCACCTGTATCTGAGGGTCAGGGAGTGGTCAGATCAAAGACTTCTTGGATCCTTTTGTTTACCACTAATGCCTCAAGGTCAAGTATTGTGAGGCTCTCCAGAAAACTCCTTCCTCCTGAATGGGCAGGTTAAGTACTGGTTTGCATGACACAAACTCAGTAAAAAGGCTGCCAACAGCTCAATGATTAGCGGCTCCCGACAGATATTGAAGCCCTTTTTGTGCCATAATTCCTCACCTTTGAGGTAACCACTACTCTGAGTTTGGTATACATCTTTCCAGACATATTTGCATATAGAAAAATAGGTTGATCATTGATTTCCTTATCTTTTGAAATTTTAATTTTCTTTAAAAAACTTTTTAATTAAAAATTTTAAATTATTTTTAATTTTTGTGTATGAGTGTATTGCCTGCATGTATATAAATGCACCCATGTCTTGCAGTGCCCATGAGGGTCAGAAGAGGGCGTCAGATCCCCTGGAACTGGAGTTATGGATGGTTGTGAGCCACCATGTGGGGGCTGGGAATCAAACCCAGGTCCTCTGCAAGAGCAGCCAGTGCTCTTAACTGCTGAGCCATCTCTCCAACCCCTTAAATTTTTTTTTTTTTTAAATTTTATGTAAGTGCACTCATGCACGCAATACCCATGGAGGTCAAAAGAGGGCATTGGATCCCTGGAACTGGAGCTATGGGTTATGGAGTTATGGAGTTATGGTTGTGAGCTACCATGTAGGTGTTGAAAACCAACCCAGGTCCTCTGCAAGAGCAGTCAGTGCTTTTAACAGCACTGAGCCCATCACTTTTAACAGTTGAGCCCATTGCTCCAGTCCTTTTTTTGTTGTTACTGTTATTGCTCTGTTTTAATTTTTTCTTTTGCTTAATTTTTACGTATATGTGTGTATTGAGTGCATGTATGCTAGTGTGGCCATGCCATGCAATGCCTGCAGAGGACAGGAGAGAGTGTCAGATTTCCCTGAAACTGGAGCTTCAGACAGTTGTTAGCTACCATATGGGTTCTGGGAATCGAACCCAGGTCCTTTGCAAGAACAGTGAAGGCTTTTAACCACTGAGCCATCTCTCCAACCTCTATTTATTTTTGTTTTATGTGTATGGGTGTTTTGCCTGCCTGTATGTAAGTACACCATGTATATACAGTACCCATGGAGACCAGAAGAGGATGTTGAATCCCCTGGAACTGGAGTTACAGCCAGTTGTTAGCTGCCGTGTGGGTGCTGGGAACCAAATCTAGGTCCTCTGCAAGAACAAGTGAGTGCTCTTAACCACTGAGCCACTTCTCCAGCCCTAGATAAGGAATTTTTTTTTCTTTTTTTTTTTTTGGTCTTTTTGAGACAGGGTCTCCCTATAGCCCCAGCTGACCTGGAACTTGCTATGTAGACCAGACTGGCTCTGAACTCACCAAGATCTGCCTGCCTCTGCCTCCCAAGTGCTGGGATTAAAGGCCAGTGTGCCACTGGCCCCAAGATAAGGAATTTTAATTGCCCTAAAAGAAGTGGTACCAACTTATACTCTAGGATATTGACACCATTCACTTCTCCACACCATTTCACCACTAGATGTTCTCCATTTGTTTGATGATTTTTGATCCAGATAACCTTTTCATATTCCAGAATTCTCAGTGAGAATCACCTGACTGAATTACATAAGGAGTCATTTGAAGGCCTGCTGTCACTCCAGTATTTGTAAGTTAATTATTCACATTTATTTGGGAGCTATAAGCTAGCTATGAATGAACAAGGGGCTCAATTACAGATAAATACTAAAATCTCTTCTATAAAATTGTGTAATTACTGACTAGGCATGGCAGTGCATGCCTATAATCCCAGTATAGGGAGGTTAAAAACAGGAGGATTGCCAGGCGTGGTGGCGCAAGCCTTTAGTCCCAGCACTCGGGAGGCAGAGGCAGGTGGATCTCTGGGAGTTCAAGGCCAGCCTGGTCTACATAGTGAGTTCCAGGACAGCTGGGGCTACAGGGAGACCCTGTCTCAAAAAGACAAAGAAAAAAAAAATTAAAAGTTACATGGTAATTCTTCTCGCAGGAAAGACTGCCTCCAAATTCTACTGGGATCTATAGTTATTTATTTATATATGAAGATCATGAAGGTGAGACATTGAGGATAGGGGTGGACAGGGTTAGTTGCTTTAGAAAGTTCAAGTGAAAATCCAAAGGTTTACAGTTTAGACAAAAACAATGTTCAATATTACCAATTCTAAAATCTATTATTTATTCATACTAATTAGATATCTATCTAATAGCTAATCAAAGCAATATTTCTCTTTTACTTTTCCCAGGGATTTATCCTGCAATAAGATACACTATATTGAAAGAAGGACATTTGAATTGTTACCTTTTTTGAAGTATATGTAAGTTACAAATATAACTCCTTCATATTTACAAATTCTGATATATGATTAAAATTTTGCTAGTAGGAAATAAGCCGAACTCAGAAAGGCAAATATTGCATGTTTTGTTTCATGTACGGAAACTAGACTTACAATGTTTTGTTTTCAGTGCTGGGACCGAACCCAGGGCCTTGTGCTTGCTAGGCAAGCAGTCTACCAATGAGCTAAATCCAGAACCCCTAGATTGATATGTAAACATATGTGAGATGAAAGTAGATGATGGACTATGAGGGGTGAGAAAGGAGTCTAGAAGATACAGAACAAGAGAGGATAATATGAGGATAACAAAATGTCTGTTTTCCCATATGAAATCCAGACTGAATACATGTATACACACACATATATGTAACATGAAAGGCAAAGTAGGAGTCTATGGTGAGGAAGGGGACCAGTAAAGAGGCAGGGAGTGGGAGGTGGTGGCAAGGATAAGAGTAAAGTACAAGTTTTATGTATATAAATGTCATTATGAAACCCATCTTATTTTATTTATTTATTTTTTTGAGACAGGATCTCCCTGTTGTCCCAGCTGGCCTGGAACTCACTATGTAAACCAGGCTGGCCTTGATCTCACAGATCGGTCTGCTTCTGCCTCCCAAGTGCTGGGATTAAAGGTGTGAGCCACCATGCCCAGCTGAAACACATTATTTTTTATACACTAACTAAAAAAACCTTATGACTAGTAGAAAGTTACTAAAATTATATGGCAAATTCTTTCAAAAACTTTTTAATGTATTTGTGGGGGGTTGCATACATGCATATTCATGCATCTGTGCATTCTCACAGGACTTGGGAGCATTGATTATCTCCTCTCACCATGTGGGTCTTGAGAACAGAGCTCAGGCTTGGTGGCAAGTGTCTTTACTCACTGAGCCATCCTGCCAGCCCAGATTCTGTAGTAAAGACGAGTGTGAGAATTCTTACAAGTCAGTGAGTTATAACATAAGAACTGTTGATAAGTTACTGATATCTACTGGACAAACATCCAGGACTATTGCTAAACATCCTTGTGAACAAACTTCCACAAAATAGTCCATCCCCAAATGACAGTGGTGCTGACATCATGAAACCCTCTTCTAGAGAAGGTCATTGAAAGAATTTATTGATCACTCACTGTAGCTAGTGCGTTACATGAATAAATATGAAAACATAAATTGTAAGCCAGTATTGTCCAAAGTGTGATTTCCTTATTGTATGGGAAAAAATATTGAGGTTATATTTAATAATGTATAAAATAGAGTGATTGTTAAATGATAAATGTTCTAAAGAATATTTCCCACCCACCCCCTTTGGCTTATAGTTGTTTTGTTTTGTTTTTAGAAACCTTGGGTGCAATTTACTCACAGAACTGAGCTTTGGAACATTTCAGGCATGGCATGGAATGCAGTTTTTACAGAATTTGTAAGTGAAGTAGAAGTTAAAACACATGTAAAAAAAAAACAACAAAAAAACCCAACTATGTGTTAGAAACCCCATACAGTTACTGATTCACTGAGTTTAAGTCCTGTGTGAACTTCGAAAAGTATGTCTTAGGATCCGTTCTTTTCCAATGAGGAAGCTAAGGCAGAGGACAAGAAACTTGCTTTCCTAGTCCTGACCTTCAGCATGGGCACTAGAAGACATCACACAAGTAGCACTCAGTAGACAGTCAAGAGGCCCCAGTGCCAAGGCTCTGATACACTAATGGTGTTGGAGCTCCACTTGTGAGTTTGACTGTGATTCCTTTTCACATGCACAGTTCCTAGCTGCTTCGAGGGATGCCATGTAACTGCAAAGAGTAAAGACAAACACGAAGTCCCCCAGGGAGCAAAAGGTGTGGGTGCTTTCTTAGAAATGGTAAAGCAGAAAAGTCCTGAAAAACTGCCCCGGGGACTTCTGTCCCCAATCATCCAGAACACTAGTTTTCAGGATGTGTATACCTCTGAAGTTATGAATTATCTGTGTGCAACAAGGCACCTTTGCATGATGGGATAAGATTGTGTCTCCATTAAGCAATGTGATGAAAAATGTTCATAAAGAAAATATATTGATATTGTTAGGGTCCGTGACTCGATGGGTCCCCTCCAGATAACAAATACACGGGATTGGAGATGTAAAAATCAAGCAGAGTCTTTACTTTCCAGCTAGCTGGGGTCGACTGGCTTCCCAAGACATGCAAGTCTGGTCAGAACGATCGACCCCAATTCAGTTTTAGGTACAGATTATATAGGCTCACATAGTCATTACACAAAAAGCATTCCTCAGCAGACACTTTGATCAAACATCTTCTAAAAGCTATAGTTTCGGTTAAACATCTTTTCCAGGAAGGGTAGATCTGGTGTAAGCCTGGTGCAACTTCCCTCTCTTTGTTCCTTATCGGTTATCTGGTATGTGCAAACAGGCCTACAGGACACATTGTAAATCAACTGAGTCTGGGGTCCAGGGTCCAGGAAGGAGGTTTACAGCACTTCAATTCTTAGCATTTCAACTAGGTTAATCATCCATGTGTGGTAGATACAAATCAGGCAGAACAGGCAAGCTTAGCAAGTAAATCTAAATCAACATTTTAAACAGAGTTTTCTATCAAAATGCAGAGCTCTTACAGCAGTCATCAAGGTATTTCAATTTTTTTATTTTTCTTTTTTTTTTCCCCAACATCTATAATAGAATTTTTCAATCAATAAATAAGGCAGTTTATCTTCATGAGGTAATGTCTTAGTTTATTAGGTCAGCACAATGAAGTTCCATAGACTGGCTAGCCGAATGAAGAGATAT